CTCCCACCCCCCTCCTCACACAGTTGACCACCTCCCATGATCACTGCTCCAACCTCCTCTGTTCAGTCTTTCAATCTCTCAGCCTGTGGAACCCCTTTCATGGTGGTGTAAATTCACTTTCACCTTTTTTTTATTCTCTCTGTCCTACGTTTGCCTCCATAAACAAACATGCMTTGTGTTTTGGCAGAGGTTGCACTCGCTGTATTCCTCTGGCTGCCGTGTCACAAGTCACCTCATGTCCGCACGTATCATCCAACACTTCCCTGTGAAGTTGCCAAAAAATAAAAGTTGTCATGCCCGCAGCTGACCGTGGGAGTTTGAAAAGCCAGTTTACTGTTTAACTTCCAGAACTTTTGTGTGACAATTGCCTCTGTGTGTGTGTACTTGTTTGCACATTGGTGTGCACTCAAAGAGTGAACATGCTCACAAATACTGTAGCCGGTTTGTGGAGTGAACTGAATGTCATGAAAGACGTTTGCGTGTATGTGTGATTTTTTTTTTCTTTCACCGGAATGTGTACTTAGTGAGGAAGTGCAGATTTATGTCTCTTCCATMATGTTTACACGTCCGTCAGTTGGATGAGTTACACAAAGTGAATGTGTGGGTGTCTGTTTGCAAAAGCACAACCTGGMTTTCGGTTCTCACACGCTCATCGATATCAACAAACACACGTGACACCAGAGTATATCGGAAGCCTGCCTGACGTTCTCACAAGTGACCTTAATTTGCCTTTCTTTGACAAAGTGTGTGTGCATCATGTGAAGCATTGTTGTCTGAGCTGTAATTTGCTCGCAAGGATAAATCCATCCTTTCAGAATAACATCTTTTCAGCTGTATGTTTGTTTCTTTTTYACGCAGTCCAATTTGACGGGGTGGATAAGTCTCGGATGTCGCCCACAAAAGATGGGAAAACCCGCCCTCTGCAGCGTCATTCCAGTGGCTGTCTGGTCAACACCAAAATGACTTCACTGGACCACAGCAACTCCTCTCTCGGGGAGAGGATTGACCCCGCGATGCCTCTGGAGAGCCAGTTGTGAGTCTGATTTTGGCGCTTCTATTTCACGCTAATTTGAGCCTTCATTCTAATGTGTCCTCTTGTTTTAATTTTTTTTTCTCCGTCTCTTTCTTCTCGACGTGGAGCGTAGCTGGTACCACGGAGCCATCAGCCGAACCGATGCAGAGTCTTTGCTCAGTCTGTGCAAGGAGGCCAGCTACCTTGTAAGAAACAGTGAGACCAGCAAGAATGACTACTCCCTCTCACTTAAGTAAGGACAGTTCAACAACAAACCATAAACTGTTATCTGGGRTTTCCACAAAACAAATAGAAACTAATTTTATATCCGCTACATTCTTACTGGTGGAGTACKCCTCATGAACAAGTTGAACACCTGTCTCCARTTAGACTGATGACTCTTTTGTATGRTAATATATTTACCCTTCAGACCTCTTCTCACACCTCATCCATGCGTCCGTCCTTCACATCTCCTTGGTCACCCCTCCACCTTTCCCGTTCCCCCTGACATCTCTGGCCCCTCGTTTTGCTGATGTGCCTGAAACRCAGTTATATGTGCCCCGTCTTTGGCCCCAACTCGATGTCATATCCAGTCGAGGGCTCAAAGGAGCCGCTCTGATTGGTTTAGTCTACACTGTGGCATTTGGAAGAGGTTGCTTTAGTGTCGAGACCTGCTGTGCTGTCACATCCTATTTCTTTGATGAAGCTGTAGCTTATTTATATGTGTGTATATATTTATTTCTTGAAAAGGGGGGGAAAAAGTGTTTTTGCTACTGCTGCTTGTGTTAGTTTCTTTTTTCCACTGAATGATCATCTGCTTATGTTTGACTTCCTGCCTATTTTTCTGCTACAGTTACTGATGAAAAGATGTTCTGACAGACCTCAGAGTTTTCCCTCWCAAACCCAAACAACAGATTGTCTGTCTGGTGAAGTGCTAAACACTCCAAACATCTGTAAAAGATTTACAGTTAGGTTCTGTCATTTAAACCTGTTTATTGGCTTTATAAGTTAGTGTAATGGATTTCAAATTAAACAACTGAAAAGCATTTACCATTCCGAATTGTGCCTTCTTTTTAGGAACAAAAAGTTTGGACAAATTTTCCCCCAATTCTTAGAAATTTCAATCAATTAGTGAAATATATTTATGTTTGTGGTTGTAATGTGACAAAATATGGAAAAGTTCAAGGGGTATGAATACTTTTGCAAACCACTGTAAGTTAGTGTAATAGATTTCAAATTAAACAACTGAAAAGCATTTACCATTCAGAATTTTGCCTTCTTTATAGGAACAAAAATTTTGGACAAATTTTCCCACAATTCTTAGAAATTTCAATAAATTGTTTTGTTGTAATTTCAGGTCCTCCATTATTATGAAACGAATTCATAAGCCTTTAAAATTTTAAATACAAAACAGCTCAGTTAGATTTATATCTCTTGATTGGCCATTAAAGAATATTTCACTGTTTTACCTTCAACAACTCTCAGGGATTCCTCTCAGTCTGCTTTGGGTCATCGTCTGTCCAAACAGTCTTGTTCAAATAAGATCGCTGTTTTTTTCCTGAATCTGAGCCGACACTGCATCCCGTTCACTTCAGGATTCATTTTTTTTCTGCCTCTTTCTTCTGACATATAATCAATAAACACTTATGATGCAGTTTTATTGGAATCTATGTTTGCCTCTTCCATCACACAGCCTTGACATGTGTTTTTAAAAAAGGATTTTATACGYTTCGAATCATTAGTTGCACAATCTTTTCATACTTTCTGGTGCAAGCTGATAGGAGTTTCATGTTTCCAAAAAGAACCGGCTTTCTTCTGATCTTTGTCTGCATCGAATCAGACTTTTTTTTTGTTAATCTTGGCATAGTTTAAGGTTATGAATGACTTGCATGTTTTGGTTAAAGCTTCCACATTTTTTATTTTTTATTTTTGTTATTTTTAATCCCAGAAAGTACCAAACCTCCATCCCTAATAATCCTAATAGTCTCTGCTCTGGTAGCCTTTTGAACTGGCAAAAACAAGAGACACCACATTCTGCATCAGTTACACTAAATACAGTGCCTATAAAAATATTCATCCTTTGGATGTAGTACCCAAGGATTGCTAATATAAATCAGTCTTGGTCAATATAAATTGGTCTTTTTGACAAGAAAAAAAAAAAAATTTTGATGCTACTGATTGCCCAATTAGTAAAATGGAAATGACCTAAAGGTGGTGGACAGTTTAAAACACCTGTGTCCAGAAGGTCTTTTCACCAGTTAATGACTTGTCTATCATTACACAATGAAGACAGAAGAACCATCCAACCAAGTCACAAATGGTTTTAAGACAACAAGGTGAACGTTGTGGAGTAGACAAGTCAAAGACCAGACCTAAATCCACTACAGAATTTATGGCTTGATTGAAAAGGGATTTTTCATTCCCAATCTCCTACCTTGATAAAATTTGAGCAGTTTTGGGAAAAATAATGAAGTAAAATTCCAGTGTCCTGATGTGCAAAACTGATTGACTTATTTTACATTATGTTTGATATTCACTTGGTATTACTCTATAGAAATTTGATTTCACTTTGACATTGATGAAGTTTTTTTTTTGGTCAAACATGCCAGTCATCCTAGAGGCATGGTCACTTTACAACATTTTCATTTTATTTGAAGGCTGTACAGAAAAAGGCAAAACCCTTCCAAACAAAATATTTAAATGTAGAGCTGCTAAGATTTTAAGACACGAAGAATTTGACCCTGGAACTAGATGAGTTATAAATGTAGAGATATTCATTTAAATCCTGCGGAGGGGAAAGAGCAACCGASGTATCAATAGAGGAGTTGCAACAACGGCACAAAGAATCTAAAACTGAACAATGTACATGAAACACACCAATGTGATATGTGAATGAGCTAGACTGAGGAAGTCAGGTTGAACTTAGTGGTTGCATCACTTTTTAAAGTCTTTATCATTATTTTGAAGTACAAAGTTACCTAGAATTAATCCACACATTTGTACTGCAGGTGTGAACAAGAGATTTGCTAACGCTCAGGGTTTAACAACCACAAATGAAATATCTGATTGCTAGATTATAGGATTTACTTTCAACACATGACAGATTTCTTTTTTTTTTTCACTCAAACTCAACCCAACCAGGCAGTTAGAATAATGTTATACTCAGGGTTGCACATAAAATGTTTGGTCTGGTTCTCAAGGGAGAACCTAGGGTTGTTGCTTGGTGCTCACTCATATTTTCCTTCACTCATTGAACACATTTATCTATCGGGGTGTCAGGGCATCTAACATCCCCCTGTTCTGTTTAATGACTCCTATCAGCTGCAACGTCTCAGGACATCATGCTAAACCAGTCCACCGAGTTTTTATTTTATTCTTTTACTCTGCATAAATTTTGTAAACTACCTAAGTGGCCGAGGGGCTCAGTGTATGTCATATAAACATCATAAACTGAACATTTCATAGTTAAATGTCTTTTAGATTAACATGTCCTTCAGATGGACAACTCCTGCAGTTTGACCTTCTGCATCTTCAGCCTTGGTTAAACCAGATTTCCACTCTCCAGACCGAGCAGCAAATACTGTATCTGTCTTTTGCACAGAGCAAAATAACAAAACATTCAAATGTTTTATTTGTTAGTCTGATTTATTTTTTAAAAGACTATTTTATTCAAAAGATAATACTATTTAGATGGTTTCNTTGTTTCCTCAGGCTTGTTGAAATTAGTCTCATGTAGGCTAAGTGATTGATTTGAACTGCCAGCCCCTTCCACTCAGTGTGATGCAGGAGCACTTGGCAAATTTACAAACTGTACAGTGTAATGCAATCCTCTGAGTGGAGTGCAGAGTCTAGACTTATGAAGGTCCATCTCCATCGACATGCTGTTAAGATCAGTGCCTTTCTGTCTGTCTGTCTGGACAAGCTGGGTAATTAAACACGGGTTGCAAGGTTGACCATTAGTGATTTTGGACAACAAAAACAGACAGTGTGAAGTTTCATGCTGCATTAACTCCTTCAGTCTGAGGCCTATTTTTTAAGCTTTAGCCTTTAAAGCAGCCAACAATCCCAACTAAAGCTTCGTCATATGTCTGATGCTGCGAGCCACCCCTCTGTTATTGCTTGAGAAGCGTGTCAGTGGCTCTAAATAGTTTTCTTTTCCCAAAGCTTGGGGTGTTTTGACATCAATTATAGTGATGGATGATGG